GATGTTTAGTCATGTACTGACTTTGGATCTTACTGTGTATCCAGACACCGATGACAGTGAACGAAAAGAGAAGCACAAATACAGTTCCACATTAGAATAAAACATGAAAGTTTCAGGGTCATCTGTGAATAACAAAAGTATGATTTCTACAGCTACCTTAATGGCAAGTTTGTAAGCTTTTTGAATATTGCTTTAAAATATATTCTTATACTTGAATGCGCCAGACTGCTATGTTAAATTAATGACTGTTGTAAAAAAAATCCAAACCTCATCTGTTAAAAGTAACTGTTCAATGTTAAAATGAGAATTAAAATGTTGGAAAAAAATCTTGAAACTTACAGCATTTTCTTTTTTTCCTCAAAGGTTCTCAGTACGAAGTTTCAGATGTATTTATATTTAACCTAGCCACAGGTTCTAGTAGCTTAACTTTTAAAATGATACATGTATTCAGCTATCATTAGGGAAGGTGATGTTATTTTCTGTTTCCAAAACTTGTAAAAGACCAACTTCATATTTTTCCTGAAATAAAATCCAGAGCTTCCTAGTGCCATGTTCTGTGATGTCTAGAAACTGATGAGAGGCTAACCCTATATTAAATGGTCATGTTCACTGTTCATTGCCAAGCTACAAAGATGTATAATTTCCCCTCCCCTAATCAAAACTGTTCCTTGGACAGATTGCAGATAAAATATTAGTCGTAACACTTTATGGCCAGGTTGTGATTCTCTTCCTCACACTGAATATTTCCAGCCATAAATAGTCCTTTTGCAGTTAATGGGGACTATTGGTGGAATAAGGGCATTGCAGTCTGATCCTTTATTTTTGGGTAAGGAGCATGAAACTACTAGGCTGTCTATACATTGGCATGATCGTGCGCAAATACTCTAACGCAAAAGTTCTTACATTAAAGTATTTGCGCAAGAGAGCGTCTACACGGGCATATGCTTTTGTGCAAGAGCATCCGTGCCAGTGTAGACGTTCTCTTGCACAAGAAAGCTCCGATGGCCATTTTAGCCATCAGGCTTTCTTTCCCAAGAAATTCATGTTGCCTGGCTACACTGGCCTCTTGAGCAAGAACAGTTGCACAAGAGGGTGTATTCCTGAGTGGGAGCATCATAGTTCTTGCGCAAGAAGCACTAATTTTACACATTAGAAAGTCAGTGTTCTTGCGCAAGAACTCCCCGCCAGTGTAGACAGGCAGCATGTTTTTGCGCAAAAGCGGCTGCTTTGGCACAAGATCATGCCAGTGTAGAGACAGCCCTGGATTCTAATAGAGCAGGTTTAAACAGACCAGTATTCATGATTAGTATAAACTGCATGACTATTTCTAGTTCTTGGGCTAATACACTTTCATGACCATTTCATAAAGCTGAATTAGTATGAGTAGCTACAGTATCAAAGTTAATAGCTCTTATGTGGTAGCCCTTCAATGGAAGAAATGCAGCTAAAACTGCAGTAATATCCTTAGCTCTAGAATGCCAGACATTTTTGGCGTCTTGTGAACATACTCCTATTACAACACTGCACTAAAAATGTGGGAATCCAAGTATTTATAATAAATAAATGCTCAACTGTGTGGTTTCATTATACTTTTAAGTTGGTTGTAATGTATTAAACACCCTGACCTCATTGTCACTCCTGCCTCATTTTACCTAAATATAGACTTTAATCTGTATGCAAGAATGAATAGAACAAAACATGGGCTTGAACCAGGCTTAGCAACAGTAGGTACTACATATTAGGATTTCCATACCAGTATGTAATGATGAAATTCTTTGATATATAGGCATACTAGAACTCCTGCTTTTTCAGACAGTTAGGTCTAATTGTAATTATAGCCCTAAAACATGCTCTGAAATATGGACAACTGTTCAGAAGCAGATACTGAAAACTCATTAGCTGTTATTTGCAACATACCTAATTCTGTTTTTTAAACTGTGAAGCGTAATGGCCAGTTAAGTGATTATTAGCAGTGCCCAAATCAGTGAGAATGCAGTTTTTAAATTCTCTACACAGCTTTGCTATTGCACCAAACCTGCTCTTAAGTAAAGGCCAATAATTGAGTCAAACTGACCAGTGCTATTTTGCAAAATACACAAAGGCTGTAACTACACAACCATTTTAAAGTTCATTTTACCGGATTCATAAATCCATTTGTATGTCCACATACCAGCTTCCCCCACACATACACCACAATCATATCTGGACCTATATACATCTTAATTACTTTTCTGAGCTTTAATCAGGATTAAAGCATCTAGATCCGTGGTCACCAACCAGTAGATCTCGAGCTACCGGCAGATCTTGGAGGCTCTAAGAGTAGCTCTTGAGCCCTCTCTGAACTGTGCGCCTGCGCAGTATATTTACATTGGATTTCCTCATTTGAGGAGCAGCTACTCACCGAGCAACACCACAGGTGAGTAGCTGTGAGGAATGATGGGAGCTGGGCGGTCAGGAGGGCTGAAACACCCTAACCAGCTGACTGTGGCTTTCAGCTGAAAGAGGCTGCCCCGTGCTCCAGCTGATCAACGGCTTCCCCTCTGCGCCTGCCCATGTGGAGCTTGGTGGCACCCTGGCTGAGCACCATGGCCAGCTGGCTGGGCAGCCGCTTTTCTTCGCTCCAGCCTGGCTGCTCTGCGGTCAGTCCGGAGGGAGCGCGGGTCGGAGGCTTCCCTCCGTGGCTGGGGTAGGGAATTCCCTGCCCCCAACCGGCTGCAGAAACCTGCCCCCTCCCTGCAGAAACTTTTCCCCTGGCACTCTGACCCCCTGCAGAAACCAGTTCCTTCTGGCACCCTGTCTCCTACTACAGAAACCTGTCCCCCTGCTCCCCTCTACAGAAACCTGTCCCCCCCAGCACCCTGTCCCCTGCTGCAGAAAGCTATCCTGGCACCCTGCCCCCTCTCCTCTGTCCCCACTGGCACCCTGTTCCCTGCTCCAGAACCCACTAGCACCCCTCCCCAGTACTGTGTCCCCTGCTCCCAAATGACTTTTCTATGGGTCAGTGACCCCTGACTCAAGGCAGGTTCCCTGTCATTCTCATAAATAAAGACAATGCAGAAACTTTTTGTGTTTAACATAGTATTTTATTTAAAAATTAAGCCTGGCCAACAAACCCCCAATAGGGGCCAAGCCCCCATCTGGCCACAACCACTCCTGCATTCCCCCTTCCCCAGAATCCAGACTTCCTCCAGAGCTTTCACCTCTCACCCCTTCCCACACCCAAATCCCTCATTCCCATGCCAGAGACTACACATCCTGTCTCAACACAGTAAGGGTCCAGCTAGACTGCAGGAGTTTTTCAGGATTCTGGAGATATCCCAGAAAAACTCTTCTGTATACAGGGTTGCGTTTGTTCTTCCGCTTTTTTAGTGGAAGAGCAAACAGGCTCTTTTGGTCACCCCTATATTCCTCTTTCCACAAGGAATAAGGGGGCTTCCAAAAGAAGGTTTTTTTTTCCCTGACATTTGGTCCAGTCTAGACAGGCCAAATGTTGGAAAAACCTCTTCCTACAACAGAATTTTTTTTTAAAGCAGCACTATAAGGATTGAGGATAGCAAGTGATGGAGAGGAGGAGAATAGAGAGAGCAGAGCTTCAAGAAAGGGGCGGGGCTTCAAAGAAGGGGCAGGGCAGTAGATCTTGGCTTGGTCTGTCATTTAAAAAGTGATCTTGGGTGTAAAAAGGTTGGAGACTACGGATCTAGATGATATGCACAGTATGGATAGTGCAGTGTGTATCTAGATATTCTATTGCAAGTGATGATAAATCTATTAACTAGATTAATCAAGTGGTGCTTTTCTTTAAGAAAGCAAAAACAGTTCAGCTCAGTTTAAATAACATGAGTAGTAGATAAAAGCCATGTTTAGAATCAGTCCTGTCACTTACATGCCACTAAAAGTTATGGTTATGCCTACGATACTAGAGATTAACCAGATACTAGCTGCTATCCATTGAGAATTTGAACTCATCTCATAAGTGAATACCTAGTATGTCAACCTGCATTGTATAAATAAAAAGCTTATTAGATTACTTTTTTCATTTCTTCACACTACCTCTTTTTTAAATTAAGGTTGACTAAATAGTTTTTGTGCATAAGCTAACAAATACTGTAAACAAGTTACATTTTAATAAATGTATTTAATTAGTGGACAACAAAGTAGAACAGTACACATTCAGAGTACTATTGTAATGGATAGTAGACAAGTGCCTCTTAAGTAAATAAAGAGTCTGGTGGGTGAGGCCTTCTCTTTTATTGAACCAACTTCTGTTCGCAAAAGAGACATATATGAGCTTATAGTATTCTTCCCACACTTGAAGATCTTTCTGTAAGCTTGAAAAAGTTGGTCCAATAAACAATATTACCTTCTACCTTGTCTCTAAAATCCTCAGTAAGTAGACATCCATTTAAAAAATAAATGGAAGTACAAAAACATGAGAATTAATTTCTACAGTAGCATTAATAAAACTAGATGCATCATTTTAATAAAAATCAAAGTTTATGGCTTATTACCTCTGGTTCCTTCATCTTATTCAAAACAGGATTTCAAATCAAGTTACTTTTTGATGAATTAAATGTATCATTTATCATGTTCTAGGTATCGCTCTTTCAACCATGTTTCTCTGAGCTAATTGCAAGTCAGTTCTCTTTATAAGATATCTGAAATATGCATATTTTACTGGCAGTATAATACAGGTTGGAACAAAATCTCACCAACAGCCATGATAGGCTGTACAGCAACTCTGGTTTTAATGCACATACACTGGATTGTAAAAGATCCCATCAATACAATTATGCACATTTTTCACAATTCAAGTATATGGCCTGACAGGCAAGAAAGGCTGTTCTACAAGTTAGTTTTCTGTGGAGTTTACAGACCTGAAGAGTCTTCAGTGCTACCTGTTTAAAAAGCAAAATTTAAAATTGATTTAAAAAACACTTCAGAGCAATCCTAAGTTTCAATGTGTGGGAAAGTCGTTGATTTGTCTTGTTTTAGTTTTCCCATAAGCAACACAAGTTAAATGGATGAGGTGCTCAGATACTATTGTGATAGGGACCATAAAAGTATAAGAGTTTCATATATTTTTATTGAAGTAATTTTAACATATCACTGCTTTGTTAAAACAACCTCGAAACTTATGTGCTCACAGAAGCCTCAGGAAAATGAATGTAAAAGTTAAAAACTAATCCAGCCACCAGTACCTGACTGATGCTCAATAAAGTAATATTAATTTGACACTTTAAAATTTCATTTCAATAAATCAAATGAGAAATTTGTTTGCTCCTTGGCAACAAAATTTGGAGGAAAAACAAGTTTACAGGACACTTCACCTTCTTGCCCCTCCCCCCCAATAAAATTGTAAAATCCAAGATTTCTCTTTAATTTAAGCATATACAGTAATCACTGACTTCAGTGGAAGCGGTTAAAACCTTGATGAGCTGAGCATTTGCAGCAGTTCTCTATTGCACATAATTACATAGTGGCCTGCTTTAACTCTGCAGCAATGAAAAAAACATCCTAGTAATTGCAGCTCGAAAAAATGAAAGCATGTCCTGTCCTGTGGTCAAACTTGACACTACCATGCCAGTGTACAGTAAGTATTGCAATGGACAGCAGCTTGTATGCTGTTGGCAATTTTTATTTTTCTCCTCAGCTCCCTCACTGTTAATAGTAAAAGGTGCCAGATGACATAAGTGAATGGAGTATAGGTCAGGTATTTGTACTACATAAAACATACAGATGATCCATGTTCCAAGAAGCTTACAGTTTAAGTTCAGATCCTGTAAGCAGCTTTCTGCTGAATCTTCTGGGCATATGAAGTTTAATTCAGGCAATGGTGCAGGTGCATGCCCACCCACAGCTTGGAACAGGAACCAGGAATGAGAAAAGACAAAAAGCAGGGGCGGAGGGGATAAAATATGCAATCAAGTTGTCTGAATGATGACAGACATGCTACTATTCTTTGAGGTTCTTCAAAATAATTTCAACTTTTTTACTTAAAGTATGTCTTTATAGGTGTGAGGGATAGGAGGAGTGCTGGCCAGCACTCAGTGACTAAAAGGTTAAAGTCAGGTAGGTAGGGGGTGTTGGCAGAGAGCCCAAAGAACCAATGAGATAATGCTGACATTTGAATTGTAAAGATTACCTGCTTGCTGTTTCTCTGATTTGTTTTGTAAGCCAGGAGTTAGGAGAAACATGATTTAAATCCAGGCAGGACTAACATGCCTTCAAGGAATTCTGGGCATGAAAATGGACTGGACCATGAAGGGATCATGAGTAAATGGGGGGAAAATGTATATTTAGTCACAATGAGGTTATTTTCTTTGTTTTGTTACGCTTCTTTGTACGAAATCCACATGCCTTCCCTTCCCCGTATCTAAGCTGCATCCTAAAGAAACTACATGTATGTTTTTAATCTGTTCTTTTCTCAGTTGCTCTAACACCTAGCAACCAAGTATGGTTTATCAAGTATATCTTTTTGTTTTGTTAATAAAAATCACCTTTTTTTAACATGATGATTTGATTGTGTCCTGAAAAGTAACAGGAGGGCTGTGTGTGTGTGTGTGCACCTGCCTAGACAGAGATCAGCTAGCAGAGATTGCAGTTTGTTTTCTGGTTTTTTTTTCCCCAAGCTCTCTTGTGGTAAGAGCTTGAGGTACCCCTCAGGAAGAAGTTCAAATGTTTCTTCCTGGTTTTCAGGGTTTTAATTCACTTGGTGGTGGTAGCCTCTCTCCAAGGGCCAATGATTCCATGACCTTGAGGAGTTTTTGTAAGCAGAAGCCTATAAATGCAAGGTAGTTTTAAGGTGTCATGCGGGCCCCCATCTTCTGCACCCAAGAGTGCCAGAGTCGGGAACAGTCCTGACAATAGGCTGTGCTTGTTTCACTTTTAATGTTTAAACAGTCTTTTCTAATTTTTTGTTTAGGTATACTTAACACTGCCCTTTTCTGATGGTGAGGAAATTCTGACCTGTAAGCTAACAGCTTTTAGCTCACTGCCTACTCCCAGTTTCTCCCTGCTCTTGACTGGACTAGTGATAGAATAGTTCACTTTGGGGGAGAAAAAAATCATTGACAGGAGTAGGCTACTATGGTGGATGAAGGTAAGCTCTTAATGCCATTATATGTTATTTTTGGCAGGAAACAGGCTTGTTAGTCAATACCAGGTAGAGAAAGTTACTGAAACTCTGGAGTAACAACAGCCCAGTTTTCCGCTTCCCCTTCCAGAGGTCCTGCACAGATGTTCTTCACTTGGGTTTCAAACTTCTCCACAATGCCCAGGTCACCAGCACAGGTATCTACTAATGAGAAGAAAAAAAATATTGGTCCTAAGTCACTCATACACAGATTTGATGTAAAAGACTATGAGAAGCAACAGCCATCTTCCAATTATCTAATAAAATTTTATTTTAACTAGGGGGCAACCACTTACACCCCCACAGAAAAGTAAAGTGACTTTTTTAAACCCATTTCAACCTTGGAAATAATTAGCTCTCAAAACTCTTTACTCATTACTTAAGCATCTTGGACTTAAGATTTTATTCATTAAGGGGTGAGAATACCATTATCTGATTGTTTGCCTTTCTTAGGAAGTCCCATGTCAGTTTCTTCTAACTTCCTCTTTTCACAGTCCACACATGAAGTCCCTGCAAAGCAGAACTTGAATTTAGAAGGAAATGTACAATGCTATATTAAAATCTTTGCATTATTTTTAAAACATTATTTCAAGCATCACTTGCTGAACATCATTTCAAGTACTGGTCCAACTGAAAGCTTTTATAGGTGGGTCTTGTGACCAAAGTTCCTGACTTCTGTTGTGCAATGGGTGACCCTGTAGTCCTTTAACTCGTGGACATTATACCCATGTTGTTATGCTCCAGACAAGACTTTTAAAACATCTGTTGCTTTGCAATATATTGCTAGCATGTGGATCTGTTGAGAAGTGATTACCTCCAACTCCCCACTATTTCACCTCTCCTTTAGCAGTTCGATAGGACTCCTTTTTCTGTTGCTGGGCAGGATCTTTTCCATTATACTTTTTATTTGTCCCTTTCTGCGCTTAGGGCCTCCTCATAGGGAGAGAATTTTTGAGAACAAGAGCTTGCAGGAAACAAGGAATTGGACAAGAAACTATAAATGTAATAGGATCAGTTTGGATCCAAGGGGCTCCTGCTCTTGACCCACCTATGCAATAGTATGCCATCTCCCCCACTTCATTATGTGGCACAAAAGTCTTGCGCTGTTTGGAGCGGCTTTACATCTTTTCCAAGAAAGCTGTTTTGTTGGCTAGTTGGTGTTCTAGGCCAAAATGAAACAGCAACTGACTCCAGCAGGAAATGATGGGAACAGAAATTCAGCACCATCTGTCTTTGGGATGCAACAAGCCATAGGTCCTTGACTATTTCTCTTCTCCTTGGGGGGTGAAACGTGGTCTAGAAGAGGCTGATATATCAAATGAGCAGGAAAAAATCCAAAAGAGTGATTGTCCCCCTCAGCCTGCCATAGCAATCAGGAGTTTTGCTCCAGTTTTTCCAGAAAGAGCATTAGCTAATTCTAGTTGTGGCGAGTCTGAACTCCAGTCCTCTCTCCCTGAGAATAGTTCTGACACAGGAACCACAGCTTAAAGAAAAAACTAAATACTAGGGACGTTAACATGTACATAGGCTTATTAGATAACCTAGATGGTTACACGCACCTCCACCTCCCCCACTGCCTCGAGGTAAAGAGGCTGGGAGCTGGTGTGCATGGAGAGCCAGCTCCCACAAAGCCACCTATGCTTCCCTGAGTGTAAATAAATAACCACTGAAAATTTCAGCAGTTACATATTTACAAAAATAAAGATATTTTAACATCCCGACTAAATACATCAGCACAACCCTGAGGGTTCTGTGCAATGATTCTGCTCCCCCAGACACTCCTTGCACTGTGTTCCAGTCAGCACTATATCTAGGCCATAGTATGGACATGCTGATGCCACTTAACTCTCTCTTTCTCTTGCTCTTGCAAGAGTGGCCTATTTCAGGTTTTCTGTTTTACCACTGGTTTCTAATGTTATACAAGATATGGCAGCAAGATCTTGTCCATACTTCTAACCTTTCTGTACAAATTGGCCTCCATCAGGTGTCCCCCAGTGGTCTGTGGTGACCACTCTGACCAGAACTTTCAATTCTGCTGTTCTCCAGCTGAACAGGAAAAGTCCCAGGAAAATCTGAATTTCATTTCCTATGTGGCCAGCATTGTGAGCAGACCTCAGAGTAGGCAGCACCCTGACCACAAGTTCCCAGGGTGACAGATGAGAACCAGCATGAAGCATGTAGGAAATCCTAGACCTCACTACTGTGTGGGGAGGAATCTGTTCTTGCAGAACTATGAACCAGCAAAAGGAACACAGGTATCTATGCAAAGACTGGAAAGGACATTGAGGAGTAAGGATATTCCATGGACGCCCAGGAGTGCCACATAAAAATAAAGGAGGCAGTCGTACCAGAAGACAAAGGCGGCAAACAATTTGGATCGTTGCCACAAAGATGCTGCTTCTATGAGCAGCTGCATGCAATCCTGGGGATGGAAGGGGAGGAGCACACATCCAGTTTCCCTAGCCAATCTGTATATTCCTCCCAAGACATTCCCCCAGTAGCAGCATGGAGGACAGTGTGGAAGAGGAAAAGTGTTCAGCAGACAAGTGGTGTATCTGATGTCACCAGCAGCCCTTTTCATAACTTTGGAGACAATCACCTCCTCCCAGAACCTCTCACAGCCAGACATTGATCCCAGGGAGGACATTTTTGGTGAATTCACATTTTTCATCATACTACAAGTGGGTTAAGGCAAGTTGGTGTGAGCTGTGCCTATGCAGCATGGGGTCCCTGGAACAACTTGTTGTTTACGTATCTGGAGACTGAGTGGGAATCCTCTCTGCACATCTCCATAAAGCTCTGAGGAACTCTTTCATCCTTCCCACAAGGATTCTTTTTATGCTAACAGATTAGGTTTTACGCTTTACAATGCATTTCCTGAAAAGTCTGCTTTTTACCTTGTTACAGTGAGAACAGCAGTGAGCATACTGAACAATACCTTGGATCCCCCAGCTGTCTGGCTAGCACAAATTCACAAGTGAAAGCAGACTAGGACATGTTCAAGGAGCAAATGCAATACAACCACTTGGAAAGGAAGCACGTAAGTGAGTGGAGGAATATGTTGCTGCTGGAGATGAGAGGGGAGCATGAGGACACAAGAACATGCAGGGAGCAGGAACTGAAGAATCAGGAGAAAGTCTCAAAGACCATGGGAAGACGTGGTTAACCCCATGGTGGCCTTCCAGGACAGCTACATGCACAGGTACCCTCTCCAGCCCTTCTGGAACCACATCCCCTCCTCACAAAGAGCTATAGCTTCCTCTTCCAGGGGCACCAGAATGACAGAGGAGTCATCAAGGGCAGCCTTCATACTCAACCCCCATGCATGACTCTCAAATCTGGCCATTCAGAAAACGCTCTTTCAAAGCCTCTGACTTGCAGTGCCCTGCACTGTGCTCTCCTTATTGTCTTGGTGTCCGGCTGCTCATAAGCACTGGCTAGCTGCTGTATTTCAAAACACCACCTCCTGCCATATAACTTTTCCCTTTACTCTCACAAAAAACTATGGAGCATACAATCAACTGCCACTACAGTGGGAATGTTGCGTTCAGAGTGAGGTAACCTACTCAAACTGAAGAACCTTCCCTTTAAACACCTAAAAGTTTATTCTACCACCATTCTGCGCGCTCAGCCTGTAGTTAAACTGTTCCTTACTGTGGTCCAGGCTGCCCATGTTCAGCTTCATGAGCCATGGGAACAAGGGACAGGCTAGTCACAAAGGATCACTATTGGCATTTCAGAGCCCCCGATAGTAATTTTTGGGTCTGGGAAAAAAGTTCCTGACCATCCCATGTTGATGTAATAGTCCTTGTGATCAACCAGTGCATTCAGCACTATGGAGACGTACTCCTGGCAATTTATGTATTCTTTGACAAAGTGATCAGGTACCAAGATGGGGATATGTACTATCACCCCCCATCGCAATGAATCCCATCGCAGCAAAGCCCTCTGCTATCTCCACCACGTTTCCCAAAGTCACTGCCCCCCATAGCAGAAGGGTATTGATTGCCTTGGCTACTTGCATTAGAATAGCCCCCGCTGTAGATTTCCCCACTCCGAATTGATTCCCAATTGACTAGTAGCTGTCAGACATTGCAAATGTCTCCAGGGCTATTACCAGTCATATCTCAACTGTTAGAGTGTCTTGAGTATAGGATAATATTAGCTGCTGCTTAGGTCGGAGTGTGGTGAAGGGATAATAGATAAGCAAGTAATCATACTCTGTAATGCTGGGATTTATTTATCCTAAAGTAGTTACTGGCAAATAAAATAATTATGGGTATGTCTACACTACCACCCTCGTGGAACAATGTAAGAAACTCCTCGTGGGATGAGATGTAATGGTAGTTCAAATTAGAAAGCCTAATTCGAACTACCTACTCCGTGCCGCGTGTAACCGCAGGCACAGAGTCCGAACTACCGGGGCTTTAAAAATGGCAGCGCCCGGCAAGATGCAAATGAAGCCCGGGATATTTAAATCCCGGGCTTCATTTGCAACTTCGATTGACTACATTAACCACCCTAGTTCGAACTAAGGTGGTAGTGTAGACATACCCTTTCTGATCAATGATCTGAAACCCAAGTGTCCTAAAAAAGTGGAAACTAAGTCAAATTACAAAAGATGAATATAAACAAGTATGCAGGGGCAAAATTAGAAAGACCAATGCTGCTGTTTTATTTGCACAAAAAACATAAGCAGCAGTTGGACAGCAAACCTAGTGAATGCCAGTGAAAGTGAACTGCAACATGAGGCTAAGATAGGAAAAGAACAAATTAACTGAGATGTCATGTCACAAGGCCTAATGAAATACATCCTAGAATACTCAAGGAGCTGACTGAAGAGATTTCAGCCATTAGTGATTTCTTCTTCAAGTCAGAGAACTGGAAAAAGGCAAATGAAAGTGCCAATCTATAAAAAGTGGGATAAGGATAACGTGAAGAATTACTGGCCAGATTATCTTTAGTACCCAAAAGAATATTGGAGCAAATAATTAAGCAATTTGCAAACATCTAGATCAGCAGTTCCCAACCTTTTCCAGACAGAGATCCATTTTGACAATTCAGGAAGCCTTGGTGACCTAAGGCAATTCAAAAATAGGGGGGAGGAGAGAGGGCAGAGCCGCCTGGGGGGACACTTGGCAACACTTTTGAAATGTAATGGTGACCCATAGGTTGGGAAACTCTGATTGAGATGACAACCTAGAGGTGGGTGCGGATGTGTATATATATTTACACCATTGGCCAGAGTATGTCAAGTATTCCCTCCCCAGGCTCCTTAGAGTAAGGGATTCCTCTGGGTCTGAACCACATGTGGACATTTCCATCATTACAATGGGCGCTAGCACCCAAGGTAGCCCCTGCTCTCTGGACTAAGAGGAGATTTGGAAGAAACAATTTTGGTTTTTACAGGGATATTCATGACAAGTCCATTCCTGCAGTGAGCACCCACCCTTTGAAACTTTAGGATCTGGAGGGATTCCTGCTTTGGACTTACTAGAACTAAACACCATGGCGGCTTAAGGTTGCTGACTTTCTGGATAAGGTTACCAACTGGATGAAATTGCCACAAATGGCATCTGATTGAGAGATTACAACTTTATGACAGCTTGCTTCTGTTCCTGAGTAGAAAGAGGCTCCCGCCCTCTTAAAGTCAGGACATCTTTCTCCTCAGAGCATAGAGAGGCTTGTTTCTTGGAAAGCTACCAGTTTACATTAACGAATCATTCTTACCTTCATACAGGCTATTTCCAAAGTGTGAGCAAGATGTGTATTAAGTTTGCTGATGGGATAGGATGGGTGCTTAAGTTATTACGAGGAGAGAATGCGCAATACAGAGCAGGGCTAAGATTTGTTTTCCTATTTTCAGTTTCTCACTGCCTTTTGATGATTTCTGAAAGACAGATTTAGTGACTAATCTGAAAGGAACAGCAGCACGACATCTAGTTATTTTAATGAATTAAACACAGTTTTAGATCCTACACTTGTCCCTAAGTTCGCCTGCCCATGTCTGATTTTATCATTCAAATGTTTTCTGTTTACAGCAGGAAAGATGCACACAGACAATGGGAAATGAGTAATTAGGCAAAGTACTTTTTATATGCCCAAAGTAAACAACCAAGGGCATTTTTCTGCTCCAACCTTATGGTAATTTTAGGTGTTATTTGTAGCAAAACAAATTCTCACAAGTGCAATTTTAAGTCAATGTTGTGTTACTATTAATGTTAACTCCTTTATATTACACATTTTAATGCATTAGTCCTTATTACTGATAAGAAGGGAGTGCACCTATGCATGAGCTGATTCTGAACAGATTTACACAATCCTTGACTAGTCTAGTTAACAGAAGGTATAGGGAATATCAAAGTAAGTGGCAATAGATAGGATTAAGATTGATATTTTCTACCACATCACAGAGCAGTGTTTGTCAAAGTGGTCCACAAAACCACTTTGAGAAAGCTGCTAACTGGCCATGCCAGTGTGTTTATTTACTGGTGCTGGAGCCCCATGGCTCCGGTTCACTGTTTGCAGCCAAGGGGAGCCACAGGAAGCAGCAGCCCAGCCCACACTACTTCCTGCAGCTCCCCTTGGCTGCAAACGGCGAACCAGAGCCAATGAGAACCGCAGGGCTCCGTGGCTGCGACACTAGTAAATAAATACACCCGCACAGCCAGAAACACTCAGTCACAATTTAATACTTGTACTGGTTGGCATTTGCTTGAGCGCAAGAAAACAGCAGTGCTCAATACCTAAATCTGAAACTTGTCAGCCCCAGCTATGATGGAACACTGTCAAAATGGTGGGGTAGTTGGCAAGTTAAGGTGACAGCTTTTAAAGCAAACTAAGGATAGTAGTTTGCTCTTACAGGATTTTTCAAAATGGGGCATTTCTGTCAAAAGATCCCCGTCTTGACAGCATTTTTTTCTTCAAAAAGCGGCTTTTCGAAAAAAAGCCGTGGCCACCATTATGTAAATGAAGCACGGGAAATTCAAATCCCAGCTTCATTTACAATTTCGATATGTCTAATTTACATCCCTTTATCAAAAAAGGGATGCAATTTGGATGTACCCTAAGATAGCACAAAGGTAAATCAGCAATTAGCATCAATTGTTTATCTTTTATGCAAATTAAAAGACAACAGTTATCTACCATAAGCTACGGGAGGGAGGGGAGAGGGAGAAAGGAGGAACTAGAGAAATACACAAATTTCAAAACCAAGCATATTTTCATAACCAAATAACAGCTCTGACATGATTCATGTCATGTTATCTCTTAATTCACTATCTGAATAAAACTTTAAAATATTCTTTACCTAACAGTGTTGTGCTATCCACTAGGTCAGCATCTAGAGAAAGAGAACAGTTCAACTGTGAAACGCTAGTCTGGATATTCTTTGCTTTCTATAAATAAACTAAAAGTAACAAAAGTGATATATTTTATATAATAATCTGCCTACTAAGAATGAACACTTTTATATATAAAACATGCTAAATGCAAGTACCTTACAATACTATCATTATACAATAACCAACATTAGCTTAGCTTTAAAGGCACACAGGAAACTGCTATAATACAGTAAACTTCCGATAATCCGGCACGTTTAGGACCCAGGGGGTGCCGGACTATCAGATATGCCGGACTATCAGAAGGGGGGGTTATAAGGGGTCTGGAGTGGAGTAGGAGGGGATGCCACCCCAGACCCCTCATAGCCCCCCCTTACGATAGTCCGGCTCTGCCCCAGGCGTCCCTGATTCAGCCGCTGCTGAACATTTCAAATAAGATTATTACTGGGAATATATTTCTAAAATGTCACTTTTTTCTCTTTGTCTTCCTTTTCTACTTTTCTATTTTAAGAAAAGACTTATTACTTCAATAAGCTTTCAATAAGATATAAGAGACTTCATTGATTCAGATGGAAAGATTCATTAATTAATATAGTTTGTCTCTGCTAATACCGGACTGTTAGCTACAGTATGTTTTTTAGTTTTGCCCCAGGCTAATTTGTAATGCTGATGCAAGAAGGCTTCACTGCTACCCCTGGAAGATTATTCTGCAGTTTATTCTAAGGATGTTAAATTTAGATCAATCAACTAATTGAATAGTCAATGCAATTTGCATCCACTATTCAGTTAGTTGATAAGGGCACCTCCACCATGCAATGTAGCAGCTGATGGTTCTTGCTACATTTCAAAGGCAGAAACACAGCAGGGAGCCAGCCTGGGACCAGTGGGGGACTTGCTTCCTGCTTTTGAAATGTACAAGGGCCCTGCTCTTGCTACATTTCAAAGGGAGAAGTAATGGCAGTTCCCCACTGTGCCCGTCTCCTCCCCGCACAGAGACTATGCTGGAGGGAACTGGCTTTTAAATTGGCTCCCCCCAGCACAGGCTCCTC